GATTTCATCTAATCCACATTTAAACATTTAAACCTGTTTTTTTTTTAATCAGCTTTTACATCTTCATTTTGACTCGTGATGTGGTCAGCACTTTTTCACTTCCGATACGACATCAATATTGCTGCTTTAAGCATTGGCCGATACCAAAATCGACCCGATATGATATCAGTACGAATCCTGCATACTTTTATTACGTTTTTTTGTAGTGTGAATTCTTACAAAGTCTTCATCAAATCAAACAGTAAACAATAGTCAACAGTAGGTATAGGAAAGACTGGTCTCATTTATTATTAACTAAAGGGTTACATTTTTTTTACTTTTAACGTAAAAACATTGTACAATTAAGTACAATAAATAAATAATAAAATAGAAGGCCCTTCTTTATACTGGATCTAAGAGCTGCTGGATGGAAATCATGATCGGACTATTGGATTGACTTTATCAGAGTGGTTATATTGGAGATTTTAGATGCAGGCCGATATAATCTGATGTTCTTTTTTTGGCTAATATCGGACCAATATTCGATATTGGTATCGGATCACTATCAGCACTGTGACGTTCAAAAAAAAAGTATTGAGTTTGTTTCTCAGAAGGTTTTGTGCCCACACTGTATTTCTCTGGGGACTTTGGTTTCTTCCAAGAGTTAACAAAACATCTCTTTGCCTGCTGGTGGTGGTCAGAGGGTCTGGTGGCATCAATTTCAGAATCATTTCTGTCAGTGAGCCCCAGGGCAGTTGTGGCTGCAGTGTAGCTTACCACCATCAGTGTGTAGTGCAAAGACATTTGGAGTCCTTGGACTTGATAAATTGTTATATAGGATCAGGCCTTTTACCATTTAATCAGTGGTTCTAAATGAACTGTAGGACTGTGGAGTGCAGGGTTGTTAGTTGGGTTGGCTCTGACAGGATGTCTGTCTTGGTTAGAGCTGTCAAAAACTGCAAACATTTTAGGTCTTACAACATTTTAAATGTCCAAGCAAACTTGTAGAGTGAATGGAAAATACAGAACGGTGTCAGGATTATAAAAAAACAAGTCATCTTTTAAAACTTCAACTGCTCAGAAAGTTTTTAATTTGAAATTAATAGTGAAAAAATGTCATTTCATTTGTAAAAGACTGTACAGTGCATTCAAAAGGAATACAATCAGCATTTTAAAGTGTAACGTTAATGTTGTGCAGGCAGAATATGTGAGGCACAACAATTTGGGAGGAGCATTCGTCTGGTCACTGGATCTGGATGACTTCAGTGGAAACTTCTGTGGTCAAGGAAAATATCCCCTCATTAGTTATCTGCGCTCTCATCTTAGCTCAGGTAAACAAATCAGCTTTGTCATCATTGTGCATAATTCCACTGTTCTGAATATACTGTATTTACTAGACTTTCCAACACCTCCACCAGGTCCAGCTACCAACCCCCCTGGCCCAGCTACCAACCCCCCTGGCCCAGCTACCAAYCCCCCTGGCCCAGCTACCAATCCCCCTGGCCCGGTCATCACAAATCCTCCTTCTGAAAGCGGTTTCTGTGCTGGAAAGGTCGACGGCCTCTACCCAGATGCCAACGACAAGCACATCTTCTATCAGTGTGTCTCCGGCATTACATATGTGCAGAGATGTCCAGCTGATCTTATTTACCATCCTCCTTGCCAGTGCTGTGTCTATAAAAAATAATTTTATTTATTTTTTTGTCAAACGGGAACGTGCTGTGCTGCTATTTATTTGATCAATGGAGGCCACAGAACAGCAGGGAGTCTTAGAAATTCTGTAAGAAATGTAAGAAGGGAAAAAATATCTGTCTACCTGCATGGTAAAGGTTTAGATTAATAATCGTTCCTAATATCATCTTTTCAGAACTGTTACTAAAGTCACAACATACGTCCTGACATGACATTCTGACTCTATTTTTTCTTAGGTCAGCATATTGGTGTCTTTTCTTTCACAAAGTTTATCAGGGGAAAATGTCTTAAGAGTTTAATTATGTTTTGGTTAAAAGCTTTCTATGGTGTCTTCCCTGGCCTTTCACTCATAATTATTATTTTTTTGTTTGTTTGTTGTTTAATCTGCAGAACAGCTGAAACTTTAAGCAGRCAGTCAGGGCAAGAYATAGTCATGCTTGATTTTGTGATTTCGACTGTTCTGCTWGTACTGTTCTGTTAGTACTCAATAAATTACTKAAGTCTATACATGATCTCTTTKTGAAGCAATTTTTCCCTCACTACAACCAACAAATTATTTTCCACTTAATATAACACCCTGCTGTAGACAGGTGTGTTTCATCTAATGTGTTCTGCTACAGTATAAGGCTGAAGTGATGATCTCTCACTTTTATTTAAAATGACAGTATGTCCTTGATTAAGAGTTTGTTAACATAATGTACTAAACCAAAGTGTATTTTATAACTTGGCTAAGAAACAAAGTCATTCGGCTGCCTTATATGTAAAAGTTTACCTTCAGTGAGGAGTTGCTTCTTTCAAAAACATGCATTCATGCTAATTTTCTTACACAAATACCTTTCAGTGAACGCTGGCTGCRTCAAGTGGTTTAAAGTGCTTACGGCAAAGTAAAATCCTTCAGCTTCACCTCATGTTTAATCATTCAGCATAGGATGATATCATAAAACAACAGCTCAGGGGCACTTTACTGAGATAGCTGATAGTAATGACAAATATTAAAATGAGAGATCTAGTTGAAAATGAGAAATTTCTGTAATCTAGCACATTCTGATGAGAATTTTAATGTATCTCCTAATGTAAAACATACATTTTCATAAAATGCAATTTATTGCTTTTTATTGTACATTAACACGATAATTACCTGAAGACCTAAAAATGTACAGGTGTGGATAATTTGACTTACACCTAGAAGACTTGTGTGTGACCCTCCCACACACACACACACACACACACACACACATACACACACACACACACACACACACACACACACACACCTGCTTACATAGGCTGCAGCCCACACTGATCAGGGTGAGGATGAGGTTGCTCTGCGCCCTGTTAGCCCACTGCTAACATTGAGTGCCTCAGGGCATAGTGCCCCTCCCACACACACACACACACACACACACACACATACACACCACCACCACCCAACCAGAATTTTTGCAGTATACTGTCTGTTTTAAGCCAAGCTTGTCAACTTATATTTCATTCACTGTTTATTTAGTGGGACACTTTAGGTTAACTGGTGGTAGAGAAATGATTTAAGAACGGACTGAGGCACTGGAATGAGTAAAACAGATTTAATACAATTTTGAAGAAAGGGAAAAAATATCAAATATTACGGTTCAGAGCTTTTACATTTGTCCAAATTTCATAGACAATATTACACGATCATTATACAGTTGATTCATCTATCAGGAGCTGATTGGTCAGCCCTCTCGTTCATTCCCTTCAGCGTACAGGCCCTAGCAAGAGGAGCTTCAAGATCAGGGACCATYTCTCCCAGACCCTTAACAGGATTCAGGTGTAGAAACTGGATGGTGGTTCAGTACTTGGTTTAATTTTAAGTTATCAGATTGTAGGTCACTACAGTGATCAAATTAGGTCAGCAAGGATTGTAAGTAGCATGTGACCTGTTTCCATATCAGCCTATCATTAAGGCAGAAAAAACAAAGACTAGAAGATCCCACCTTGTTTTATGACCCCCCCCTCTCAGTGTCTTTATCATTGGAGATAAATATCACAGGGAGCCTCTGTGGACTGATGTGCATCATTCATGCACCTATCCCTATTTAAAGATTCACTCATCTGAACAGGCTGTAGGGGTAAAGTTCACAAACACTGCCAGGCCTCTAACCCAGAACCACTAACCACACAGAACATTTGCCCACCTCGTCACCCAGGCTGCTGCTGAAAATCATCGAGCTACAGGGGTTAGACAATGAAACTGAAACACCTGTCATTTTTGTGTGGGAGGTTTCATGGCTAAATTGGACCAGCCTGGTGGTCAGTCTTCATTAAGTGCACATTGCACCAGTAAGAGCAGTGTGTGAAGGTTCAGTTAGCAGGCTAAGAGCACCGTTTTGCTCAAAATATTGCAATGCACACAACATTATGGGTGACATATCAGAGTTCAAAAGAGGACAAGTTGTTGGTGCACGTCTTGCTGGTGCATTTGTGACCAAGACAGCAAGTTCTGTACATTATAAAGAAGAAGATGAAGATGTAGAGTTTTGTCTCTGATTGTTGTTGGATTTAAAACTACATTCAGCTTTTATAGGTGCATTGATGTGATCACACAAATGTCTATCAATGTCATGAAGGTGAGGACTAAAGGCTTTTCTTTGGGTAACTTGAAGTTGTGATGTATTTAATGAGAAACAAAAAATACTGTTCTACACTAAATTTTCAGGGGGTGGGAGCTATGCTCATGCTGTATTTATCAAATTTCAGTTTGTTTATTAAGGTTATGTGTTTTTGAAAGAATTCACACGAACCTTTATTTAATGAAGTCTGCGTTGAAGATGGAAGGTAAAAAATAAGAAATGTATCATTTCATCACAAGTTCAGATTAGTCAGTATGGGGTTTATGCATGGGCAGATGTGCTGTTTTGTTCTCACCAACCCTACTGTGGTCTTGCATGTTCAAAAAACGTTAGAGTGTGATTGTTATAGCTCACCATTCACAACAGGTCAAACACAAGATTGTAAAATGGCAGCACATAAATCAGTCACTTTGTTGGCGGCTGCACACACCCAACAGACCAAAGTGTTTGTTATGAATGAGATTAAACCAGTTTAACCTGACAGTTGCTTTGAAGTTTCTGCAGATTTCTTATCTTCCTTGTAGTAAATCTAAAGCTGCYCCAGTTAACTGACAAGTCATGTAGCTGTGAAAGATACACAGTTAGAGTGCTGTACAATTTTTGTTAAATAAAATTTTTGTATTTCACCCATGACTCTCCTGCTTGAGTTTCCTTAATTTATTTTATTTTCCTTAAATCATTTTAATTTGAGTCACTGTTTATGTAAAAAGGAGGATTCATGCCTTGATGATGACTATAATGATGGCATGTGTGTGAGAGAGAGAGAGAGAGAGAGAGAGAGAGAGAGAGAGAGAGAGAGAGAGAGAGAGAGAGAGAAATTAAAAAAATACATAAGAGTATGGGTTAAGAAAATTTTCAAGGAGGCATCAGGTTCAAGAAACAGAATAGTTTCCCTTATTTTATGTGCTCCCCTAAAAAAAAGTTGACAAAGGCATAAAACATAACAGTTTAAACCAAAGGTCACCCAAAAACAGTTAAAACAAAACTCACAGCAAAACAGACTCTAAACAAATGAGCATAAAATTAATGCACCTACCTCATCCAAAGATCACCATCAAAATGGCATACAGGGACATAWTTGTACCRTAAAATGGGAGTAATTTGCRGGGTTATGACCCCACAATAATTTAATCCAGTTAACCACCCCAAAAAAATAAATAAATAAAATTCAATTAAATCATAGAAATGAACTGGTACAAAGCTGCAACTCTCTTGACGTCTTTAGACAACTTCGACYTGATTTCAAATTTAACGATGTCATGTACCTTTAAGCATAAAACAGCTAAAAATGGCATTCAGGGTTTTAGTCTGCTCTTGTCACATTATGGATGTATTTGTTTGATCATGTGTTGTGTAATTTTTCCTAGGGTACCAGGTAAATCCATGCTCTTGAAAAATTGAGAAACTTAGGTATGTCGTATCCTAACAATGGAAAATATTTGTTACTGTTGGGGGGCGGGATTAAAACTTTACTTAATTGCTGAACTGATGTGGAACAGCATAAACACTGTATGGAAAGCAGAAAAGTTAAATAAATCACAGTGAAAGCAAGGAAAAGTTTTACAAAAGCAAATGATTCAATAAATAAATAAAAACAAATAAAATAGGCAGAGCGACTGTACAGCTAAAACTACTGTATTTATGCATGTATAATGTGACCCCCATTGTTTGAGCTTAAAAATCATGAGATTGTGCAGTCATTTTTGTCACATGATCAAGTTGAGAACACTGATGAAAGGTGATTGGGTGAATATGGATTCTTTTGTTCAGCCTTTTRTTGAAGAGCAGCTGTGTTTGTGTTGAGCTGCTAAGTCCAACTCTACTCAACAGGTGTCATGAGACCCACGTTTACAGTGTTTACTTATCTGTTTTGAGGTTTGTTTGTGTTCAGTTTGTTCCACTGTCTCCTTGTTTTCTGCCATGTGTCCTCAGTCAGTCTCTGCCCATCTGTCCTGCCATCTCCCACCTACACGGGTTTCCTGCTGTCATTAAACCCAGGTGCTCATCAGTCCCCCATCACCACTCGAGGTCCTCAAATTTGTCTGTATTTACCACAACAGGTTTATGTTCTGCTTATTTAAAAAATTTGTGCAGTAAAATAGACGAAAGTCTGGTAAGTGTTTACTTTTTCAAAGGTCCCGTATTGTTTGACTTAGATGGTGTATCTGTGGCAAATGATGAGGTTAATGTTTACAAATCTTTTTCATCAGCAGAAAACTCTGGACACTAGACTTTAAAAGAGGATGTTCAGGAACAAAAAATAGCAGTCATGAACAAACTCATTTCAACAGCAGGTAAGGCATGGCGCTTTCTATGTATGTTTTGACTGAGTAACCTCTGCTAATTAAATCACCACTGTTACAGGTCTCTGTCTGCTTCTAAGCAGCTGGGGTGAGTACATTATATTACATTATTATCTGTGACAATGCATTTGGTATTAACTCTCAAATTATCACAATATGTTTTATTTTATGTTTAGTGTCTTCTTATAGACTCGTGTGTTATTACACCAACTGGTCCCAGTACAGACCGGGCCATGGGAAGTTTATTCCTTCAAACATTGATCCGAACCTCTGTACCCACCTAATCTATGCCTTTGCTGCTATTAATGAGGCAAATGAGCTGGTTACTGTGGAATTTAACGATGAAGAACTTTATAAATCCTTCAATGGACTCAAACTCAGGTCAGCTTTTATGACAATAAAATAAGAATTTTAAGCACAAATGTCATGCAAAACAGCTTTTCATAGAGGTTTTATATATGTCAACAGAAACTCCGGTCTTAAAACRTTGCTGGCAGTCGGAGGCTGGAACTTTGGAACACAAAGGTATGTTGAAGCTGATAMAACCAATAAAGAATAACAATATAAATACTTCATTTCTTCTTAATGGTTGATTTCTTTTTACAAATTTCTACTCAGATTYACAACAATGACATCCACAAAAGCCAACAGAAGTAAATTTATTCAATCTTCAATAAAGTTCCTAAGAAAACATGGCTTTGATGGACTAGACTTGGACTGGGAGTACCCTGCAGGAAGAGGAAGCCCTCAGGAGGACAAGCAGAGATTCACAGCACTGTGCAAGGTCAGGGAGTGCTGAATAGGTTGACTTAAATTTACTGAAGAAGCTGAAACTGAGTTGTTAAAGCTGATAGAAGCAAAAGACTAGCTGGAAGTAAAACAAAAGCAAGAGGCTAAAAGTGGCAAAAGACTGGCTACAAGCTAAACATAGCAAAGGCTAGCTAGAAGTAGCTAAACAATAGATATAAACTAAATGTAGCAGAACACTAGAAAAAACAAAATAGCTAGAATCTAAAATTAGAATGAGGCTAGCTAAAAGCTAAATGTAACCAAAGGTTAGATGTAGCAAAACAATAGCAAGATGCTAAAAGCAGCCAAAAGTTTGGCATGGCAAAAGGAAATAGCAAAACTCTAGAAGAACCATGATTTTGAAGGAATTGAGACTTCTCRACATTTTTCAGGGGAAAATATTTGGTTGTATGAAGATATATACTTTATGTATAAAAACAAATCTCCAAGCACTCATCTTCTGAATGACGTGGACATTTTGAATTGTGTCTGTCACCTTTGCTCATTCTGTGGTCTACAGGAGCTCTTTCAGGCCTTCGAAGCAGAAGAAAGACCACCGGAACGGCCCAGGTTATTGATCACTGCTGCAGTCGCTGCTGGGAAAGAAACTATTGATGCTGGATATGAAATTGCAGAGATTGCCAAGTATGCTACTACATTACATCTTACAATCAACATGTTTGTGCATATTTAAGTGAATTTGATGTCCCATTTACTCTTTTAGGTATTTGGATTTTATTAATGTGATGACGTATGATTTCCACGGCTCCTACGAGAAATTTACAGGACATAACAGCCCTTTGTACCCACGATCTCATGAAAGYGGGGCTAATGCTAACCTTAATACTGTAAGTATAATTTAATAGTGTTTTGAGCAATTATCTTTTTGCCAAAGTTTCTTGGAGAAACTAATTTATTCTGACTGAACTGAAGACGGGGCAAAACCAATGTATATGTCTGCCTCAAATCAACTCCAATCTCATATTTCATTTCACTTAATTTATGTGAACACTTTTTTTTTTACAAATATTTACATTGAATTTGTCCGTACAAATATTTGAAGCAGCAACTAACTGYAGAACTTCTGGAGCAGACTGGGACACTTCACCATTTTTTTTCYAGCTCTAAGCCCTCCTTGAACTAGTAATTACCATGTCAATTTAATTTAAATCAAAATATTTCAGCAAATTGGGATCATTCATAAAGCTTTCTATAACCATTAAATTGAACTTTTACACAACCTTTCAAAAAAAACACTTTAAAAGATTTAACTTCTTTCTGTAATTTGCAGTAAAAACTACATAAAACTATTAAAATGTCTTAAGATGCATTCATTTTTATTTGTATTGAAATCTGAATCATTTTTCCTAACACTGTCTGCCTCTTTCTTTTTGCACTTCAGGATTTTGCTATGAGGTACTGGAGAGACAATGGAGCACCAGTTMAKAAGCTGAAYATGGGTTTTGCAACATACGGACGAACGTTTCAACTCTCCACACAGACCAGTGATGTTGGAGCACCAGCCAGTGGCCCCGCTGCTGCTGGGACTTTTACAAGGGAGGCCGGTTTCTGGTCCTATTATGAGGTGAATACTTTATCTCAGGTTTATTCAACAGCAGCTTTTTATAGTGTGCATGCTGACTCAGAATTATTTAAACTACTGTTGTCCTGTTTCTTATTACTATTATTAATAATATTGAACTTTATAAACTATTATAAATGTGTTTTTTGCAATTGAACACTCTTGCATACTTTGTGTTATTTTAGCCTTTTATATAGCCAAACATTTAGTTCAATAAAAAAAGATGAGTGCCTTCACTCTTAGTTTTTGTGATTTCTCAAAAAAAATGTTTCTTATAAAATTACAGAGATATGTGCTTCTTGTCCTATCCTTCAGCTAGCTTTACTTATGCTACTAGCTAGCTTTTCACTACTTTCATCAAGGTAGCATTTAGCTTCTTTCAGCTTTTAGTATGTTTTGGTTTTAACAACTTAGTTTTAGCTTCTTCAGGTATAAACTATAAAGTTGTCTCAGTAACTGAAGCAGATATAAAATATTGTGCTTGTTTTCAGATTTGCCTTTTTCTTCGAGGAGCCAGAGTACAGATGCTTGACGATCAGAAGGTTCCGTATGCCGTAAAACAAAATGTGTGGGTCGGATATGACAACAAAGAAAGTTTTACCACTAAGGTAGTCATGTCTTTCTCAAGGGTCCCTTTCTATCAGTTCTGTTTGACATCCAGGAACATCCCCTTGTTGCTGAGGTGGTTTTATTGTTCTTCCTTTAGGTCAGGTACGTWAAAGACAACAGATTTGGAGGAGCTTTTGTCTGGGCCCTGGACCTTGATGACTTTAATGGACAGTTCTGTGGAGATGGGGACTACACCCTCATCAGCCACCTTCGCTCACTCCTGATTTCAGGTTAGAAACTATTCACGTAATCTGTTTTGTTTTGTTTAATTCAGATAAATCCACCTTTTTACACAAGTTATTTTAATATTTTTACAGATTCTTCTTCTCTTCCCACAACTCAACCCACTCGAAACCAAGCGACTCCATCTCCACGCACCAAATCCCCTCCCAGACCAGTGCCCACTTCTTCATCTGACAGTTTTTGTGCCACAAAGCCTGGTGGGCTTTATCCCAAACCTGRTGATCCAGGTTCGTTTTACAGCTGCGCTAACGGCATCACCTGGGTCCAACACTGCCCAAGTAGTTTGGTGTTTCGAGACAGCTGCAAATGCTGCGACTGGAATACTGGAACTGCAAATATTTGATTCATGTCAAGTAGTGATTGTTGCATTCATTGCTGTAAAATGAAGTTTAGACTTTTATTAACAGCTGTTCTCAAAGTTTGTTTGGTCTAGAATTTTCTTAAGACCAATTACTCAATGAGTTCTAGTGTTTTAATATGTTGATGTTCATGTTTTTCTTTTGCGTGCTCCCCTCGTCAAGGGATGCCACAATTATTTGTGCAAACTTGCACAAATAATTTGGTAGTTATTTCACACGAGGATGCCTTTCCTGACACAACCTGTGCTCAAACTTAGCAAATATTGCCTGTTTGTTTTGTGGTCACGTTTTGTCAAAATGAACATCTGATCTGACCTCATTCTATTCATGCAAAATATGCGTAAAATGTTACCTAAATGCTTTTAGGGTTGCAAACATGTTCATTTTCTTTAAAACTGAAAATTATTCTAATAAATAAATAAATAAATACACATATTTTTGTTTTGCTTTCTGGACTTTATTTTCACTTAATTAAAAAAAAGTTTAAGCTCAATTAGAAAAAGATATTTACAATTGCTTTGAATGTCAGCTTTTACGCTGTGTTTGAATAAAATGGACAGCACAGAATGTTTTTTTCTATTTCTGAATGAGCATGCCGACATGTCTTTCAGCAAGACACTGTACTCCCCACTACTCCTGCTATACTCATCAGTGACGAGTGAGAATACTCAAAGAGTTGTATAAAGTCCCAAGGGAAAGAACATCCATTATTTTACCTCTAAGATTTTATGTATCTGGTTTATTGGCTTTATTGGTTATGTTCAAAATTTATGCATTTGCAGACTTACAAAATATCCAAAAAACTCTTAATGTTGAAAAAAAGAACATCTGAATCCAAAAATAAGTACATTATACAAGTTGTTGGGTTGCTTTTGTAAGCTCAAAGGTCTTTTACAGATCCTCATTATCTGATTTTCACATGTGAGCTAACAAGTTTCATGTCATTAACCTCAGTAAACATCTTTGTTTTAGTTAATAATTATTATGGTTTCTGTAGTTTTCCATCAATAAGAATAGTTGGTCCYGGTGCTATTTTTGTATTTGCTATGGTGCATTAAGGTGCAGCAAAGAGATAAAACTACAGTGCTTCTGATAAAACTCTGTTTTAAAGCAGTTCAGGAAAGTCCATAAGACCAGCCAGTCAAAAAAAGATGGTTTTCAGTCATTTTCCATTAACACACAGCAAACCGCATTGGATATTGAGCAGGAAAACTGTATAATGCATTACAGTTAAATAAAACTATTTGGCCCACACAAGGCCCAGATACTGCAAAGAACGACAACMCTTTGGTGCTCCTTTTGTGGTTCACCAGAGCATGGGCCAGCACTACATAAACCAAACCCCAATGGGCCAAYTGAAGCATGCAGTCGTYGCCAAACCTGGCGRCATCTGGTGGACAAAACACTCGCCATGCCAGCAGTGCCAGCTTCACAACATATCTGGCTGCTATGTGGATGCGTATGGATGCAGTTTTTGTTTTTATGGGTATAATGGAGTYATCAGTCAACAAGTGAGAGGTGAGATAGACCCTGGACAGGTCACCAATCTGTCTCCAACAGGCTGATTTTTGAACCGTCGTAGGAAACTCAAGAATTTGGAGAAATTCCACACACGCAGAAGGAGAACATGCAAAGCTCCACGTTGGTGAGAGCCTAACCCCAGAACTTCAGTGAAGCAACACTGCTAACCAAAATGCCACCCATATATGCTAAAATCCCTGTAAACACATCAAATTCTCAAAAACTGTTGATTTGTATCGGTGTACTGCACCACCATGAATTCGGAATAAATCGCACCTGCACATTTAACAAAAACTTTGTTTAAAAAGGTCTCCACAAAGCTGATACATTCATAGCATCCTGTGTGGATTAAACARTACAGTCTCTTATAAGGCTCTACCAAATTATACCTTTTAGTTCAGAAGAGTGAMTTAATTTTGCTTTAAGAAATTAATCATCTGGAAAAAAAATCCAACAGCGCACACAGAACTGTTGTACTGAAGCAGGACCGGGCTTCAGTAAACTCAGAGCACGTAACGGAAACGCTGGTTCCTCAGAATTCGTGTAATGAGCTGTGCGGCTCAGGGAGCTTCTGAATGTCACAGTTTTGAATCAGATTAAAAAAATACACAATAATCTCCTCATAGTTCTTTATGGAAATCCTTTCATTTATCCCATGGAATCTAAAAGAAAGAAAGAAAAATAGTAAAGATACTTTTTGTWCAGGTGTCCAGTAATACTTTACCYTKAATAGACTTATTCTTAGTGTTCTTGCTAAATAAATGTTTTGGGATACTAAAGATGAAACATGAAAAGCATACTCCATGTAAAGTGATGCCAATTGTATTTGTGAAATAAGAGCTTTACAACTTAAACACACAAGAAGAAACAAATCTTTATCTAATCACGTGACTGACTGAAACAAGGTCTCTTTTGTTCAAGCAGCTGCCTTTGAGTCCTCCACAGTTCACAGTTTATCTTWATGACTACAGAAGGTTTTGTTGAAAGTCATTTTATGGTCTTACCTTTGAAGATCACCTGGTTTAAACCAGACAGGAGCAAAGCGATAAATATCACCGGTCAGGTCTTTAAAATACCGACTGTCCGTGTTCSCGACACAAATACCTGCACAGGTCAGAGTCTCTTCAGCAAATCATTTAACCTTGAAAACCCAAATGTTTACATATTGAAAGGTCTGGATTGTACCTGGAGCAACTGCAACTGTTGGAAACAAGTCCCACATTGTTTTCTTAATGATCTGAAAGCCGAAAGACCTCTCATCGGAGGAGCTGACAGGCAGGGGATCAAATCCATCAATGAGCTCTACCTTCACCCGCGGGTCCATGATGGTTTCCTGGATAARTTCCAGGACCTGGACGAGACAGCACACGTCCCATTCAACTTCCAAGTGTTTACAGATCGTCTAAACAAGAAGATTCAGAGTGTTGGCACTACCTCCTGCACTGTTTGTGCTGAGTGGATTCGTAGGTTTACATGAGCTTCAGCCAGGGACGGAAGGATGTTCGACTGAAAACGAACATAGGCTTAATAATTTGTTGGAAACACTAACTAAACAATCTGCCTTTTTTTTGAATCACTCACTTTAATTCCTGCATTAAACTTGGTCAATGCYATGGTTGTCCTAACAAAAGCATTAGAGTGTGGTTTTCTTTCGAGCAATCTGCAATCAAAAACACCAGCTCCTTCACTTCAGTGGCAAAACAGTAGAAAGAAATTCTGATGCAAATATRCAGCATGGTTACCTGGCAAGGACTGGGGAGAACAGCCATAAGTTTGACAATATAAACTTTATTGGAAGGTTAAACTGGGTCAAAAACAAAATAAGCAGCTACATGAGAACATGGTGTCAAAATACAAAAATCCAGATTTTCGTGGAGTTGAATCCACCTACCTTATGAGCCAGATGTTCAAAGGTTTCTCTTTCGGGCCCATAACCAAAAAACCTCGGCATGGGGTTGTCTTCAAGTCTGTGGAAATGGCAAGAGTTTTTATGTAAAAGTGTGCTTTGACTTCAATAATGTGACAGCATGGTAACAGTGAGGGTTAAAAGTGCAACGCTAAAATGCTGATGAACTGAACCTCTGACCTTTTAACTGCTGAAGCCAAAATCCCAATGCTGGACTCTCTGGGTGGAATCGAGGAGTGACCCGGAGCCACAGACACACTGAGCTTCACGTCGGCTGAGCCCTTCTCGCTCACCCCAATTCTGAAAAACACATACAATAAAAAAAAAGATTAATCACTTGTTTTTACAGATATAAAGTGTGCCTATGCATAAGCGTTGAAGCACCCTCACTGCTATTCCCTTTAAAACAATCTTTTGCCCTGTGTTTCATTGCACAGCTTTGTAATAAAACATTCAGAGAATATGTCAAAATGTGTGACTCCATACAGAAATAGAAAGTGTGCTATGATGGTAGGCAGAAGTACGTTGCACAATTTGCAAAAAWTTKCATTAAAAAAATTACRATCAATGGGAGTTTAGCAAAACTGCTAAGAAAACTCCCTCAGACATMCTRTACTTTTGAAACATAAAGGAGTGAAAAAACRTTGAACTTTACATGACTGAACTGGTACTTTAGGATATTATATAGTTTTACATAATCTCACTCTAAGTTTTTTAAATTTTGGGAGATTTTTCTGTTCATCACATCGCGGATATTACCTCTTCCAGAATTTGCCATCAGAAAGAAGAAACAGAAAATGAAAACCAGGACAAATCGCCTCAGAAACAGTTTTAATCTAAAATCAATCATGGCCATAAACTCACACTAAAACTGCTCATGATGATTATTATTAATAACAATAATAATAATAATAATAATAATAATAATTGCAAAGGTTTCTGTACCAAATATTAAGTTTCATTTTTCTGGTGTATCAAATACTTATTTCACACAATAAAATGGAAATTAATTATTTAAAAATCATACRTTGTATTTTTCTGGATTTTTGTTTTAGATTCCATCACTCACAGTTGAAGAGTACCTATGATAAAAATTACAGTCATCTACAAGCTTTGCAAGTGAGAAAACCTGAAAAATCAACAGTGTATCAAATACTTGTTCTCCCCACTGTAACTCACATCAGAATTTTTTTCCTCTCATAGTTCAAGAATTTGTAATATTCAGCTTCTAGGTTTTGTTTGAGGCTTAATTTTAAATCTGTGTTCCTGTTTGCCTCTCATTAATTTGGTAGTCAGGAAGTGACAGACACAGGTGCGTGGTTACTATGGTGAACACAATGATTTACTGGCTGCTGTTTTGACATTTCTTACAGGTTACCATGTTAAATTCCAAAAATGTGGTCCTTTTTTCACAGTTTCCATCAAAACAAAACTGATGTTTTTGGGCAGCAGCTGTAACAATGTTCTTCAAAATTTCAGTTTTACATTAAACTGCCAGGCTCAGACGAAATGTTGACCTTTTTACAGAACGAAGCGAATGATGCAAACTATGGTTACAATTGTTTCTCACAGAGCAGCAGGTCCTTGGAGACCATCGATGACACCATCSACTACACCCAGGCCTTCGTCCAGGACAAATGACAGCTTCACGCCACGCTGTTTCATCAGGCGCACAATGTTCGATGCTCCGTTGTAGCCTTTGACCTTCAAATACAAGACTGAAAAGCTCAGACAAAAAGCTAAAAGGTATGCAGTCACTGTAAACATGGGAGTTTTATATAAAATACTTCTTCATCATGACCCAAACCAATGTAAAATGCCCGGCGTGGTGCGTAGCCCTTCAGCAGCAAGAATTCCAACGCTTGAAGTATGCTCTAGGAGGAAAATTTAAAAAAAGCACTTTATTTCCACACGTACAAATGGGTCAACTGTTTAATAATGCACTCACACAACACATTAGTTCTCCTACCATTACACCGTACTTATCATCTATGGTTCCTCTACCATAAATGAAGCCATCTATCTCTTTGGCAGAAAAGGGGGGRACCTCCCAGCCATCTGATTCAGTGGCAGGTGCTACATCAATGTGGGCCAGCAGCATGTACGGCAATAAGTCAGGCTGTGATCCCTCCACCCGAAACAGGTGGCTGTAATTAGCCACCATCTCATGATGAACCAGGCTGGAGGAGAAAACCGTAGGGAAGGCTGACAAGGAAACAAGACAACACGTTCACTGGTTTAACTCTTGGACCGAGCAAAATGTTAATTAAGTTATTTTAAAACAGAGGTTTGCAAGAAAACAGTGGTACAAAGAGTAAAAACTGTCTCTGCTCTACATGTGTTATAACACATTCTCATTTTTTCCTCAGTCTTTGGATTAAAGTTGTTTTAGTTTTGCAACAAGAAGCTTTTCTCAAAGACAGTTTCTAGATTTGTTTTTGAGCTTTTTTGGTTCGAATTTCTGATCTTGAAGTAAAGCCACAGTATTTACAACAATGAAGACATTTTAGACTTAGATCGTATTGATTCTGCCTRTTCTTGACTCACTTAAATCTGTTTGCATTAGTTTAACATATTCATGAGCACAGATTTGTTTTAAGATAGGCTAATGTGAGGGTTTCAAGCATCTGCATCTCTTCTGACCACACTGAAAAAAAGACTGAATTAAATCAAGCTCTTTAACTTTGATGATAAATTACAGGAAAACAAGTAAAGTGTTCTAACACTGGAACAGCTAACAAAAACTTCGGAGTACAAAAACAAGAACTTTGAACAACTCGATTCGGTGAAATATTAAGGCAGTTGTTCGAAATCCTTGAAATTAAAGCATGAAATATCAGAAGTGTCACGTAACTAAGTACAAATACTTTGTTACTTCACTTAAGTAGAAATTTGGGTTATTTATACAKTTGAGTATTTATTTTTCAGCCTACTTTTTACTTCTACTCCTTACATTTTAATTCAATTATCTGTACTTTCTACTCCTTACTTTTTAAAATTTTTCATTTTTATTTAACCTTGACTTGTTTTTATTCCATCTTTTCATTGTTCAGAAAAAAAATAGAGATCTATCCAGATACATGGAGCCCTTGGATAGAGTGTATTTGATTGTGGTTGGATGAGACGTGTAAATATAAACCATTTTGACATCGTGTTGGATTGAACGCACTCCATCACACCTGTGTGACACAAATCATATCACATTCCAGCAGGACAGACTGGAGCAGATGCATGTAGTCTAGAATGAAGACGATCAAGATGAAACAAGTAGTCTGCTCAGCTAATTCAAAAATTTTCAACATTAACATTTGAATTTAACATTATATTCATTATTGAATTTAGAAAAAAATGGGGGGGGTGGGGTTACGCTATAGAACCCTGTGGCACAGCCTAAGCTTTTATCATTAATGGCTTTTTTAAAGTGTTCATTACTTTTATTTTTATACTGTAAGTAGTTTTAAAACCAGTACTTTTATCATTTTACTTGAGAAAAAAGCTTGAATTGATGCTTCTACTTCCAAAAAAGTATTTTGGTAYGCTTGTTTGTGTCTATGGTGTGTAATGATGATTGTGATGCTGTATTTCTGAGTGTTTATGTGCTGCAGAACAGGAACCTGCTGTAAAACAGCAATTGTGCTGAGTCAGGCTTGATTTTTAGTAATCTTTTCCTGTTAAATCAATAAATCAAATCAAATCAATTTTTAAACCCTAGTATCTACAGTATACTTCTACTTAATGAATGTGAATACTTTTGACACCTCTGTGAAATATATAAATCATAAATGTGGTTCAGGAAATGGAGCAAAAGTGTCACTGCTCTTTAAAAAATAGAAGTAAAAAAAAGGTAAGTCTAAGAAAGTAGGCTAAATAATTTATGGGGCTATATTTGTGAATCATTTATTTTATTTTGTTTTTGAATTCGACAAATAAAATATCACATTTATGCTACCATTTGCTTTTAACAGGTCTACTGACGCTCCACACTCCTGACCATGCAATGATATTATATAATGAACGAGGGTGAAGCTAATAAAAACACTTTTAGCCCGGATGGTTAGCTGTTAGCTCAGGTAGCTTAGCGCTMATCACCGGTTCGTTAGCTGCAAGTGGCTGTCGTAAAGAGGTCGTACCGACCGGTGAGTGGTTCCGAGTGGGCAGGTGGAGCACCGTCGAGAGCTGACAACATGCTTACCTTTACGGAGGAAAAGACTAAATTCACGCAGTGCTGTGGTGTTTTGCTCCGTCTCAGAGAATGACACCGTTGGGATCCTGATTGCCTCTTTGTAAAACAGAGACACGTTTTTTTTGAAGTTAGCCGCACACATCCTCTGTTACTTCATGGCTAAAACCCGACAAAAGTTACCTTTAAAGCGCGCTAATAGCTCCTCTCTCTGTTGTTGATTTATGACAAGAGAGATGTTGTTCGTCCTTTCCCAGTGAGCGAGCTGAAGTCCCGCATTCACGTCCAGTGACAGAGTCCTGAKAGACGCTGCAGTGAATAAAGCTACAGCTGTCAGGAACAAGACGCCAACGAGGAGTTTTACTAACTTGATTATTTTGAACTGAGACGCTGCCATCTTTAAAAAGCGTGTTGTAACAGCAGCTCTCTGACTGGAAACTGTGCAGACCGGCTGTTTATATTGGTTAAACCAGGGGCCACCTGCTGGCACAAAAAGAAGTCAGGTGGTGAAAGTTTAACTTTTTGGATCATCCATTTATTCACAAAAGAACAGTTACATCTACTTCTGTGCTGCTTTTTATCCGACTTCATTTTCAAATAGTGTTTTTGCCTGTTTTTACTTTTCCTCCAAGTTCATTAAAATAGGTTATACTCTGCTGACAAAAAACACACTGCAGAAGCTGCTGGGAGCCTGCTACAGCTTCCCCTCCAAGGCCGGATTAACCATATGGGCAATTGGGCAATAYCCCAGGGGCCCACGGTCTCCAAAGGGCCCTGGGCAGTGAAGGCACGGACACAACGGATGCGGGATATGCGTGGACATGTCTCCC